GGGCCTGGACTCAGTCCCGGGGGGGGGGGGGGTTGGGGTGGAGGGGGAGGTCTTCCACCAGAAGTCAGGCTTGCCAGGCTTCCTCTGAGCTGCCCCAGCCAGAGCTCCTCTAATCTGCTTTTTCTTTCTTCCTTTTCTGGCTTCACGGGGCGGGACCACAATCCTGTGGGAGGCTCTTCTCCTGTGGTTACAGATGCTCCCCCAGAACCTCTCCTCGGCTTCACCTCCAGCCTCACATCTGCTCCTGAGAAGACCAGGGAGACACAAGCAGGAATAGCATCTATCTGCTCTTCAGAGCTGGGGTCTGGCTTCAAGATGCTCACCCGCTTCATCCTGCTCCTTAGAGAAGGAGCAGGGTCTGGATAAAATGCACTTGAGACACACGGGGCGGAGTGCACGCGGCTTTCTGGAGAAAGCCCCATCAGTGCAAGGCGGATGCTTTTGTGGCTACTCTCCTCCTTGGAATTCATACAGCATTCCATTATTGGCTCTGGGCAGCAGCTCCGGGACCATGATGTCCCTTTCCCATTCAGCAGACAAGAAAGCTGGAGCCCAGAAGGGAGAGAGGATAGAGAAGAGTGTGGCAGGGATCAGGCTTCCAACTCCAGTGACTCTTCCTTCTGACCCCTAGAGTGACAGGTGAAAAATCCCTGATGCTCACCCCCTTGACACAACATGGTGACCTCAGAACACACTGCCAGCCATTTAAGGTCACACAACTGAGACTCCCGTCCAGATGCAAAGCAGGGCAGAGGGAGATGCTGGGGGTGGGGAGTGGGGCAGAGCAGTCTAAGCAGATACCTTGAAGCCAGACTTATACCAAGCCTGAGAAGGAAGTAGGTAGGGAACCACATAGAAATGGGACCACACACACACCAGATTCTCTGCATCTGGACCAGGAGATCTTAAGCCAAGTGTGAAGAACAGGCCAGTGAAGATGAGCAAAGCCCAGATCAACCGTGCAGTCCTGTCACTGTGGGCCAGGCTTTGCTCTGAGCACTGCACCAGTGTGCTGGCATTTGGTCATCACTGCAACCTTGCAGCAATGCCATTGTGTTCAAGTCAAAAGGACAATAGGACATGCTTTACTGAACTTCATTTCTTTAATTTGGAAATAAATAGTTAGAAATGCTCAAGAGGAGTGATTGTTGGCCTGAACTGTTGCAGTCTTTGGGGGAAAATACAAAAAGGAGCAGGAAAACACTCTAAATTCCAGCAGCTTCCTTTCTTTCTGTGCCTGGTTGTTTGGACTTGGGCTCACAGTTATGAACCTGCGGAGAGATTTCTGGACTCTGCATCCTTCGGGTGCTTCCCCATTATGGTCTTCCACATCCATAGAGGATGTCTTCTGGGAAACCCCTCTCCACTCAGGCCAGTTGGGGCTTTTACTCTGACTTTAATACTGTAGCAGATGCCCTTGGGAATAGAGTGCTTTTTTCATTTTGTGTGATTTGGGGACAAATCCAGTAGGCTCGTATTGGGAAGCACAGGACAGAAGGCCCTCCTTGGTGTCCTAGTGATGAAGCTACCCACCACAGTTTAATTCAGTGTGTTCCATCACCTGCAGAGAGACTTTGAACCAACCTCAGGTCCTTAACTGGTTTCTTCTTAGCTGCTCTCTTGGTTTCATTTCTGTTGTTATGATACGATATCCCAACAAAAAGCAAGTTAGGGAGACTAGAGAGCTGGCTTGGCAGTGGAGAGCAGTTATCACTCTTGCAGAGGACTTGGGTTCAGTTCTGGGAGATTCAATGCCCTCTTCTAACCTCTTAGGCACACCCATGGTGCACATGCATACATTCAAGCAAAACACTCATAGACATAGAGTTTAAAACAACAACAAGAGAAAGTTAGGGAAGCAGGGTTTATTTCAGCTCAGAACTCCAGGTGATGGTTCACCATTACAGGGAAGTCAAGGCAGAGATTTGAAGCAGCTAGTTATACCCAGAGTCAAGAGCAGAGAAAGAAACGTATGTGTGGATGCTTGACCTCAGCTGACTTTCCCAAACATCCAGTGGGCTGGATTTTCCCACATCAATTAATGCAATTAAAGAAATCCTTCATAGGCACTATCAGGGTCCAAGCTGTTCTAGACAGTTCCTTATTGAGACCCTCTCCAGGTGGTTCTAAATAGTGTCTAAATAGTGTCTAAAAAGATGTATGTGTTGCCTGCTAAAGATTTATATGAGGCTTAAGGTCTGGGCTCTTAGCCTTAGCTGCATACTAGTGAACAGAAATATATCAATTCTGTGGGGACTTCATTGGTCAGCGAGTGGATGGGTCACTTTATGGCCTGTCTGATGGGAAATGCTGATGAAGGGCAGATCAGCTCTAGCTCCTTCCTAGACTTTGTGGACCTTGGAGCCTTGGTAAGCAATCTGGGTTCTGTTTTACCATCTTGCAGACAGGAGGCTGGAGTAGTGAAACCCTTGAACAGGCATAGGTGAGCATCTCAGCACCCACTTGTTTTTATGTATCCTCAGTGTCCTGGACACTCATAGAGGAAATAAAGTCCAAGATCAGTACATAGCAAAGAATACAGCTATACCACAAATAAGGGCCACACCATATAGTTTCTTCTAGACAGGAAGCCAATGCTACTCTTCAACCAATAAGGCTATAGGCCATCTAGTTAGTCTCAAGCTCAATGTCACTGCTGTGCATTTACTCATCACACATTCTGGGCTTCGTGAGAACCCTCTGCAATCTGGCCTTATCACTCCCACTTCTTGACATTCTTCATCAAGTTCAAGCCTGTTGCTGTCCCAGAGCCTTTGAACGTGGGATAGCTCCTGGACCTGTCTTTGCTTGGTTTTCCTATGGCTGGCTTGCACCTCGGCTTAAGTGTCATCTCTCCTATGAGATCTTTGTTGGCTCCTTGTCTAAAGGACCTGTTGTTAGGACCTTTCCAGCACCAAACACCAAAACTGAAAAGACAGTTTTGACTTTAGCATTCCCCATTCAGTGTCCGTTCACTGTCATTTGAATATCAGCTCCATGACAGTGGGGACTAGGAATGGCTATCTCAGTGTTAGTCCACAAACATGTGAGAAATGAGTGCTAGATCCTTCAGGCACAGCTGTATACACAGAACCCGAGTGTGCTCAGCACTTCCTATACGCCAATCATCAATCTAATTCCTATAATGCTCCTAGCAACACCTGAACCAGCAACAAGTATTGTTTCTATTTATAAATGCAGAAACAGAGACACACATCAGCTGGGCAACTTGCCCAAGATTCTACAGCTATATGGAGGGCTGGGAGACCCAGGCACACATTGTTGAAACTATGCTGTGTCATATATGGGCAGTCCTGCTCTCCCAGGCTCAGAGACTGGCGGGCAAGCAGGCTTTGTCCACAATAATGGAAGTCAAGGCCATCTACAGGATATGCCACTTCAGCTAGATCTTGAGGATAAGTAGGGTTAGCTGGGGTAAAGGATACTCTGTCATCTTGCATAGAGACCAAGAGTGTAGCCTGGCTGAAGAGCTGGATGCAGGCTCCTTTATTCTGGAGCACAAGATGATAATGAGAGCTAAGATTTGAGGGTTATGATTTTCTGAGAGTAAAAAATAAAATAAAACAACAACAATAAAATAAAGTCTCAAGGGACAAACAGAAAGCAGTGTGACTAGGAAAATAAACGGGGACTCACAGATGATGCATAACTTTGGCAAGACCAGATACCCAAATGTTACTGGGAGATTCCTTAGCCACACTTGCAGGACTGCTATAGCCCTTGACTTCGTGGTACCAGAGGACACTTTAGAAAAGTGCGGCTGACTCGCTGGCTGTGTAACCTGGGCTTTCACTCCCAACTGGCACTGGAGGACCCAGTCCCCAAGGACATCCCCACTCCATCAGCTTTGCATCCATAATAAATGATATGGGCCAGGAAGCGCCGGGCATCCCCAGAGTCCAACGCTGGGACTCCGGCATACTGACCTTACCCCACATTTGCTCTGCCTGATCCACCACCCCGGGGTCTGCCTGGCTGCCACTGAGCAGAAGACAGCTCTCCAGCTCCTTAGTCTTTCCAAGGCATAGGTGCTCCCCCAGGTTAGGACGGGGTGGGGGGGGGGTCTGCTTAGATCCTTCCATAGACAAAGGAGCTGACCTGCAAAGAGTTCCAGCAGGAGCCCCGCTCCCCCTCCCTTCCCCTCTCTCCCTTCTCAGTCCACGTGTCTCTATTGTCTGCTCCCCCGCTTCAGGGAAAGACACAGCCTCGGATGTGTCAAAACCACCACCCCCCGGCAGCAGGGAAATTAATTACTGGGCGATTTTCACTTCCTCTCGCAGCGCTCGCTTGAGCTAGGCACTGGAACAGGACCGGCTGAGTGAGGCCGGCATCGGCATGGGGGACCCGCTCCTTTCACCAGTTCTGGAAAAGAAAGTTGAAGCCCAAACCCAACAGGGGGTTATACTAGGAGCCCAAGCTGGGGGCAGGGAGACTTCTAGTTAAATCTGGGCGTCCACACTGCCACTTCAGAACTGGGGCAGAGGGAGCGGGCTACAGACAGGGTGGTGGCTGGCCGGCTCACTCTTTCATCTACCTCCCCCTCCGAGTCCCCATGTGCCTGATCCCACCTGCGCGGGGCCGCTTACCCTTCAATCTCCTTGTCTTCTCCCCCTATTTCTCACCTTTCTTTCCCTGTCTTCGCATCCCCCAGAGGGTGTGTGCAGGGAGTGGGAGGGGGCTGCCTTTTTATGTGTTCTGACCTCTCTTTTTCTCCTGCGGGTGCCTCAGTGTGTATTGCCACTTTCTCCCTGTGTCTTTCTTGTCTGTTTCTCTCTCCTGTCTTTTTGTCCTCTCTCTCTCTCTCTCTCTCTCTCTCTCTCTCTCTCTCTCTCTCTCTCTCTCTCACACACACACACACACACACACACATTCGAGCACACATTCTGATTCATTCTCTCTCTCTCTCTCTCTCTCTCTCTCTCTCTCTCTCTCTCTCTCTCTCTCTCTCTCTCTCTCTCTCTCCTCCCGCGCCTGTGTCCCTCTCACTTTCTCCCCTCCTGCCTGTTCGTTCGTTCCTGCGCCTGGCCTGCCCCCACCGCCGGTTCAGGGGAACGTGTGCGGAGCGATTGTCCTGGGGGACATTTGATGGATTAGAGCGCTGAACAGTTCCATTGCTGGGGGACCACCTGATCTCCTCCAGCCTGCGTCCCATATAAAGCCGGCAGCCGGAGTGCTGAGCACAGCTCCAGCGACCGCCAGTGTGCGCGCTGCCGTCGCCGCCACCGCCGCGCCCGAGCGGCACCCGAGCCGGAGCCGCGGCCGTCGCCACCCAGCCGGCTCCGCGGCCGCCCGCCCGCTGGGAGCTGTCCAGTGCTGAAGCCGTGCCGACAGCCAATCGCGCCGGCCGGCCGCCTCCCCCACCGGGCCGCCAGTGCCCCGCGACCCCCCGCCCGGCGGCACCATGCCGCGTTCCTTCCTGGTGAAGAAGATCAAAGCGGATGGCTTCCAGTGCAGCGGGGTGCCAGCCCCCACCTACCACCCCCTAGAGACTGCCTACGTGCTGCCCGGCGCTCGCGGGCCTCCGGGGGACAACGGTGAGTGGGCCCTAGGGGAGGGGAACGCGGGGCTCCCCAACTTGGACCGCTGAAGGGTACCCAGAAGGAGACGTCCCTGGCCGAGTGCGCCCCCGGGACTTCCTGAGGGCCTGCCGGGCGGGGCTGGGGCTAGGTCGTACAAAGGAAAGTGGCAGGGTCGGCTCATCCGGCAGCCACGCGCCAGCTGGGACTTTGAAAGTTGTGGCCCTAGAATACGGCTGGAGTGAGGGGGTGACAGAGAAAGGCTGCCCCTAAAAAAGCTAGTGGGAGCGGCTTGAAGTACCCTGTCACTGTTGAAGGAGAGAGACTGGCTGCCTGTGTGATCCCTGATGGGAGCTAGGACTGCCAATCCCTGGGGAGATGAGATTGGCTCTCTGGGCAAAGTGGGAGCATCCCGCCTCCCTCCAACCATACTCCCCCTGTCAATGCCAGACAAGTGCTCTCCAGCTCTCCTCTCTCCAACTCTTTTGTTACCCTCTGCCACATGCCTGCCAAAGGCTGGGCCTGTCCTAGGGACTCAAAGAATGAGGTATCGGAAGGAGTTCCCCCAATGTGCCTCCTGGTCCACTGGACTGCGCTCCTCCTCTCCGGCTTCTTACCCACACACACAACCAAACCTGCTGCTCCTCTGAAACCCTCGCGTCCTGGCCTGCCCCCAGCCCCTTCTCTTCTTGGAGCAAGTTCTTGTGAAGGAGAAGGACTTGGGAGACAAGAGAGGTCATTCAAGCCCTAAAGGGGGTGACGTGCAGACGGCAGGAGAAGGATGCTTCTGTGAATCTATTTCTCACCAAGGGGGCAATTGTAATAGCTAACACTCAACAGCCCCACCAGGACAGGTGTCTGGGAAGGAGGAGTTATGTTGGTAGTGAGACATCTGACATCACAGGGTTGGGAGAAGGAGAGGAGCAGGCACCAAAGATTGAGTCTGAACTGGGAACTAGAGTGGCAGGCAGGAACCCAGGAGGCTGGGGGCATCTCCTAGGGGACTTCCAAGCACTCAGCCCATGCCAGCACTCTGCCAAGCCAGGTAAAGAGAAGGTGCTGAGCAAAGAGTTCTGTGACCTCATCAAGGTCACAGAGTTAGGCAGCAATCGGGGTGCTTCTCTGTCCCTGGCTCCACTCAGCTACTCCTCTGTCCACATCTGCCACTCTGCTGTCCTCTTTTCTTGACCTCCAGGACCTTGGGGTGGAAGGCTCAGGGAGGGCTAGCAAGAGTGGGCCTGGGGTTGTGCCAAGGCTGGGGAACATGTGTTGGGAGCTGGTAGGATATGAAGTCTCCGTTGGTCTGGGATCCATAGGATCCCTTGGGAGACTGACATAAAACTCTCCCAAGGCCCCCTTGATCATGTCCCTGGGCCAGCTGAGAAAACCCAAAGAATTTCACAGCCAAACTTCAGGCTGTTCCTCAGGAGGGAGGCAAGAAATGCCTTGCCTTGAATTTGGTCCTAATAGGCTTTGGAAAGAGCCCCTGCATGAACGATGGGGAGTACAGATGGATATGGAGATATCTTTACAGAGGTCTCACAGCCTAGAACCACCCCTGCCTTTGTCCCTTTCCTAAAGGGGTCAACTCCTTTGCCTCTGGGAAAACCTAGAGGTGCTCTAACACATGCCTGGCTTGAGACTCAATAGAGTAGCTCTGGATCTGTGACTTGCACTGTGACCTTGGGCAGGTGCCTTCCCTTCTCTGGTCCTCAGCCTCCCCAGGAGTGCAAGAGCTTAGATGTCATGAATTAAGTATTCTTCCAACTTTGACAAGCCCTGTTTCTGTGGAAGGTTGACTGATGTGGGAGACTGAATAAGGGAATGCTGGAATCTGCTGTCATGGTTTCCTTGGGACTCTTCACACACTATTTCTGAGTGGAAGTTTTCCTAGATTTGGTCTCTCCCAGCTGCCTCGTGGTAGAACAGGGCATGCATCTTGCCCTGTCTGCTGTGAATGGTCAGTGTGGAAATCAGAAAGGATGGTCCATCTAGCCTTTCAACTAGAAAACATGGGGTCTGTTCTGTGTTGTTTTTCAAGGGCCTCTTCCCTTAATGGGGTGTGGCCAGACTGGGCAATGAGGGCTCCCTGAGTGGGTAAGTGTTCTGAGGGTCCTCAGAGAGCCTACTGGCTCCTGGTGGCCCGTTGTCTCTCTGCTCTGCCGGAAATAACCTTGCTGAGCGTTTGAGGGAAGTGTGAAAAATTGCTGAGCTGACGATTTTTCCCCTCTCTCCCAGCGTGTGTAAGTATGCTGGGTAAACAAGGAGAAAAAGAAAGGAGGGGGAAGATGAGGAGAAAGAGGAAGGGATGGAGGGAGAAGGAAGAAGAGGAGGGAGTGCCTGGGCCTAGAGGTAGTTCCAATTATTAGAAAGATCCTCTCACAACCCATTTCTGCAGCTTGGGCTGCAGGGTTAGGATGAGGCTGGGGGTGGGGGGAGAGGAGGGAGGGAACTGTGAATGTAGAGGTCAGAGGAATAGACTTCCTCATTGAGGCATAGGAACCCCAAGTGAGGTGGTACCCCAGCTCTGGGGGGGTGCCTAGGAATTCTAGAGAATTCCTGGAGTACACCCCCCCCCACACACACACATGCACATGCTCCCTCCCCCCACCCCTTTCTACTATCTTTTGAGCCTCTAAAGGTAAACATCACATGCACATGGTTCCAGACTGACTCCAGGCCTACAGAACCTCAAATAGAGAAGGGACACCCCCTCCAGGTTAGAAAACCTCAGGAGAGAGTATCCCAGAGCTCCTAGAAGAAAAAAGACAAGGTCCTAATTCCCCCAGCTTTCAACAAGATGCACCTTTCCCTTGGTGCCTATGTCCCCTCTACAGTTGGTTGCCTCCAGAGAGCCTTCTCTTTTCTCTGTTCCCAGGGTGGCTCTGAGCATTGATTTATCTCTCTGGGAAGTGCCAACTCGTATTCTCTTCCCCACAAAACCTAGCCCTCCAACACTACCAAGCCCACCCTCCTAGCCCCAGAACCCATTGCTCTGTGCTGGGACTCTGCAGTTCTGAGAAGGCGGCTACTTACTCTCTGCATATCACTGGTCTCCGTGGACCCCTGCCAAGGACATCTCCAGTGTCCACCTCCACTCATACTTGTCTCTGACCTCCAGCTGGGAGCCAGGGCCCCTCCCTCTCTACCCCAGCCCTGTCCTACCCACACCCTTTCAGAGTGCACCCTCCCTGGCAGACAGAGATCAATGCCGATCCAATAACACAGTTGTCTGCCCTCTGCAGCTACATTAAGCCTCCCCCAGCAGGCTGAAGAGCGCTCCTATCCTACCCATGGGCTTATCTAGCTGACCACATTATACTGGCTTCTACTTCCTTTCACTGCCACTGATGGCGCCGCATAGTCGCTCGCTGGAGAGCTGGGCCTGGGAGCCCAGCTAAATAGACCCATCCTTCCTACACCTCAAAAAAGTCCATCTGGGGATGCAGGGGGCTATCCCAATCCCTCAGCAGAGGGAACCCAGAGAAGGCTGGGTAGGTGCCCAAGAACACACAGCAGGCCTACGTGTTTGTAACCCCATGGCCTTCAGCATATTGATCTTGGTCTGGAGTTGAGGTCCAGATTGAATACATACAAGTCCAGGTCCAATGTTTATATCCAACTTCAGGTCAAAGACTAGGCCCAGACTCTAGGCCCAAGGTGTCTATGGTTATAGGACCAGGTCTGGTATCCAGAACTCATTCAATGTCTAGAAACTGGCCCAGTTCAAGATTCTGGGTCCAGGACTGAGATCTAGGTCCAATTTCTAGTCCAAGGTCATTCCAGATCATCTCAAGCTTGACTGGGGTAGAATTTTGGAGGTAGCTTTAACTCATCTTCCTCAGCCTCAGTTTCTCTCTTATGAAAGAGTAGTTGAACATGACCTAGTTCAGCTCTGACAGGGGAACTCAAGAGTCCAGTTTCTCTATGAACTATCAGTGCTCAGTGGGCCTGTGGAATATGGGATCTGGGTGCCAAAGGAAGTCGCAAGTTGGCATTGATTCCCGAGAGAGAGCAGGAGAGTACTCAAGGCCACTATGTCAGTCACAGTACACAGCCCAAAGTCTCTGGGGTCACACACATGTGCACACATACTCTGCTAAGAGAGGACAGCTTGGGAGAATTGCTGCAATCTACAGAGCAGAAAAGGCAGCCAGGGAGCCTGAAATCAAGCAGCATAGATGGTGGCGCCTGCCATGCGTCCACACTGGGTGCACTAGGGCCCACAGGCTGAGACGCTGCTGGAAGAGGCCTGCTTCCCCAGTGTTTCCTCCTGGAGTGGGTGTCTGCTGTGAGTCTCTGAGTAAGGGACTTTGGGAGGGGATTTTTTTGACTGTACCCTTCTGGGGCAGAGAAAGGGAAGGGCAGAAATCAGGAACACTGAGGAGGAGGGAGGCTATGTCCAGTGAACCTGTGTTCAGGAAGCCCAGAACCGGCCAGAACTTGCCTCCCAGAGGGTAGCAGGACATGGTCTCGCCAGCCAAGGCCCATAACTCCAGACCTGGAGCCACATAGTCCCATCATCACAGCCACTTGCAAAGTCTTTCCTATCGATTCCCACAGAGCTGTGGACCTCCCTATGAGACACAGGAACTAGGTCACTGTCAGGAAAGCCCAGAACACAGGGAATTTCAGGAGTCAGGGTATGGGAGGGGGCAGCTGGAATTCTCTAGAAGCCCCTTAGGCCTGGGTCAATGGGCATCGGCCCCAGGCTCAGCAGCCCTGGTTGTATTCAGCCCTCTGCACCCCTGTGGGCAGATGTACAGATGTACCAGCTGCCAGGCCTTTGGAGAAGGTGGGTGTCCTTCTGGTCCAGTGCCCAGGGAACAGCTAACAAAGATGCTATAATAGGGGGAGGGGGAGGACCCAGCCCCTTTGCCCAGCTCTGTGAGCAGACAGGAGAAACTATTTTTATCCTGCTTTGCTGCTGACAGACCTGGCTTTCTGCTCAGCTGGCTGGCGCTGATTCTTGAGGCCTGAGGCCCTGGCACAGCAAGAAATAGCTCTAAATATACCCA